TATGCACTCCATTTGTCTTTTTTTTAATAAAGTGGTCAAATTCATTCCGCTATTACCTTTCACCACTTCCACTTGTTTCCTAGATGACAAACATAAGGCAAAACTATGATAACTTTTCATAACTTGCCTGATGTCAAGGGAGTTCACATGAGAAACTATCATATCAGGGACTACAGGACTTCCAGCTTCCTCTACCCAGTAGAATCTATTAATTCAACACACAAGCGTACACACACACACACACACACACACACACACACACACACACACACACACACACACCACACTCTCCAACAACCATTTAGTCTAGTCCTATGGGCAAATAGAACTGGTAAACCAAATACAAAACTTGACTTCCTGATAAAAGTATCTGGTTGAGTCTATACCACTATATAAAAGCAATTAGGGTTGTACATAATCAAAAACCAAAGGCCAGCCTTGGCCATGAACTGGTGGCTCCTACTTATAATCCTAGCTACTCAGGAGACTAAGATCTGAGGATCACAGTAAGAAGCAGCCCAGGCAGGTGATTAGTAAGACCCCTACTAATCACCAAAAAGCCAGGGGTAGATCTGTGGCTCAAGTGATACAGTACTAATCTTGAGCAAAAAGTGCTAAGGAACAGCACCCAGGCCCTGAGTTCAAGCCCTAGGACTGACACCACCACCCCACCCCCACCCCCACCCCCGCCAAAAAAAAGACCAACCTTAGGCCACTATTCAGCAGGACATGAAGGCTAGGCTTAGGAGCCTAAACATCTGCCTTACATCCTGACTCTGACAACCTGGTCATGAAAGCTTGGGCAGATTTTTGAACCACTTTTAGCCTGTTACTTCATCAACAAAAACAATGAAAAAATTAAGACAAAATATCTGCTAGGATTGACTGCAATAAGGAACAGGTCTGTGCATACCTTGAGTAAACAGTGTAATTAGTTGTTAGTTTTCCTTCAACTGCTGCAAAGCCAACTGAAGATATTTTTACTTGAGAGAGCTCAATATTTATTAAGACTTTGCATCTGAATGATGTCAGATGATTTTTATTTCCTTTTCTTGTCATTCAAGGTGTTCTTTAACCGTAAGCTACTAAAGGGTTACAAAGGCAAAGGCTACCGGTACCTATAAATGGTTTACAATGTCCTACCGACAATTTAGTACAAACTTCTTATCCTGAACTCTAAAGCCACATTCATGTGTCTCCTGCCGACATTTGCACCGGCACCATTACCACTTCCTCGTTTCTCAAAACCCCTCGGCGATATTCTGTACCCAGAAACACATTGGATCTCACAGTGCCTCCACATTGCCTGTTCTGTCGAAAACATTCTTCTGGAAAGTTCTGTAAGGCAATTTCTTGTCGTGGTCCACAACTCACCTCCTCCACAGGCTTTCCAGTAAACCCGCATACATTGAACCCACCCAACCATCACTCAGTCTCCTCTGAACAATGGCCTTCCAAGCGTGGCCTGTGTCCATGTCTAGAAGGTGGGCGAGGCAGGAACTACACGGCCTAAACACTAGCCCAGGACGTGCATCGCACAGGGCGGCACGCACCGGCGCGCCAGCACTCCGGGGAGGGACGGGCTCTGTCACCTGACAGACGCGGGTGACAGCGACTGGCGCCGTCCCACCCGGAGCCCCAGAACCGAGACGCCTCAGCTGGGGGAAGTGCCCGCCGCCAGCCGCCCTGCGGCCGCCTCGGAGCCCGCACCCCACGGGCGCGGCGGGAGCCAGAGGAAGGCTGGCCCGGGGCGGCTCCCGACCGGGCCTCCAGGACCCCGCTCGGCGCGGCCCGCGGCCCGCCCCTCCCTCGGCCTCCGCCCCGCGCACCTCGCCGGAGGCTCCCGGCCCTGCCGCCGCAGAGAGACCGGCCCGGGGCCCTCGCCGCGCCCAAGGCCGCCGACGCTCCCTCGGCGCCCGGACCCTGCGGCTCCGGTAGACGTGGCCGCACGAGGGGCGGGGCGCGGCGGGGCGCCGGCCGCGGGCTCCCCGGAAACAGCCGGGGCGCGCGTCCTCCGTTCCGGAGGGGAGACCTCCTCCCCTGCCCGCCACGGGCTCCTCGAGCCGGGCCCAGGGCCGAGCTCGCTCCGCACCTGTCAGAGGCGAACTCCAGAAAGTGACTGGGAGATTTCGCAGCCTTACTCCGCGAAAACACAACTTCCAGACGCGCCGGACTGACACGGGCAGGAAACTGGACCACACCACTTCCGACGGAAGTGGCGTGGCCAGGCTCTCCGCGTCCTCGCCCGCCCCAGCCTCGGGGCGCCGGGCGTGGCCAGCATCTCCCCGCCCTCGGTGGGCGTGGCCGCCGCGGCCCCGCCCCGCGCCTCGCGGTTCCTGGGGCGGACACCTACTTCCGGACGCCTCCCGTTCTGGGCGTGCCGCGCCCTCCGGGGAGGGCGGCCGGCCGAGGCCGCGGCGGGCGGCGGTCAGCGGGCGCCCCGCGAAGCGCCCGGTCCTCTTTGGGTCGTTGCTGCGGTTCGCGGCGAGTCTCCTGGAGTGTTCTCCCTGAACCGGGTGCCACTACATACACAGTCTCACTCACGACGACGCGGGGCGCGCGCGCGCCGCCGCTCACGACCGGCCCGGCCGGGGCTCACAGAAAGCCCTGGAAGCCGGACCCCGAGATGCGCGACTCGGGGAGAGCGCGCGCGCGCCCGGCAAGCGCAGGGCCCGGGTTCAACCCCTGGACCGCGAGGCCCGAGGGCCGCACACGCGCGTGCCTACAGAGCCGGCCGCGAGGCCCACTTCCGGTAACCACCGGAAGCGGCTGGGGGGAGCGCTGGAGCGCCAGCCTGGAACCGAGGGGCTGAGGGACGGCGCCCGGCGGCGCGGGAGACCCCGCCATTAGTTCAGGCCCCACCGCGAGCTCTGCATCCGGGGTTGTGCCAGAGGCTTTCACAGTCCCGGTTCACGCCCGCGGGGGCGGGGAGCCGAGCCTGAGTGGGGACGGAGGGTGGGCGGGCAGGCAGGCCAGCTGCGACTCCCAGCCAAGCCAGCACCGCTGCAGGCCTGAGGACGCGCTGGGAGCAGGGGCAGCTGATGGGAGGGAGGGTCCAGGTGAGGGAAGGAAAGGTCAAGAGTGACAGAAAGGTCATGCCTAAGATGGTGAAGACCCAGAAGGCAGGTGTGCATGGTGGTTTGGATCATCCACACACTGTAAAATGGGTAAGTACCCTAGGGGTTTAGACCAGGTGTAGAGTACTGCCCTCTGACTTCAATATAACTCTGGTTTTAAAAATAACGATTGTGCTTTTAACAGTACTGGCTCTCCGGTGGCCCTGTGGTAGATCAGTTAGAGTGGCTGCCTTTAGCTGGTGGTGATTTGTGGGGGTTGGGAGGAAGAGGAAGTATAGAAAATTATAAAGAGCCCATGAGTCCTATAATCAGGCAGTTCGGACCACACCCAGAAACCACTGCCCAGGCCCAAGGCTCCCTCCCATTAGAACTGGATCCAGGCTCCATTCTGACCACCATATGCTCAGAAATACCACAGAATCCCCTTGGACCAGGGATGTACTTCTCTCAAGGACAGAGGAGCAACAACAGACTCCTCAATAGCGCTGGAGCTGTCCTTCCTCTTAAGAAATATTAAGGGCTGGGAAGGTGGCTCAGTGGTAGAGGCCTTGCATGCCTGAGGCCCTGGGTTTGATTCCTCAGCACCACATAAGCAGAAAAAAAAAAGCCAGAAGTGGTGCTGTGGCTCAAATGGTAGACCACTAGCCTTGAGCTGAAGAGCTGAGGGACAGCGCCCAGGCCCAGAGTTCAGGCCCCACGACCGGACCCAAAAAAAGAAAAAAGAAATATTGAGACCTAACGCTAGATTACTGAAAGTTACTGAATTCTCTGGTTCTTACATTCATTTTTGCCTTTTAGAGATGGAGGATGAATGTTCACTTTTTTTTTTCTTTTTGTTTGTAGGTCATGGGGCTTTTTCTGCTTATGTGGTGCTGAGGAATCGAATCCACGGCCTCATGCATGTAAGGCAAGCACTCTACCACTCAGCCACCTTCCCAGTCCCTAAATGCTCACTTTTTAGAGCTCAAACACAGCAGCTCTCCCTTCCTGGCTACAGAAAACAAACCTATCTACACTGGACAAAGAGGGTTCAGTGGAATGAAGAGTACCCTGGGTCCCTGTTAGTCCCTAATAGTCAGGTTTGGGACCTAACCTGACCCCATGTGACTCATGTTGCTGTGAGACTAGAAGGCAATAAAAGACATTACAAGTAGTAATTAACTAGTAAACTTCCACAGAACCTAACTCCATTACAGCTCCCCACACAAACCCAACACAAAGGAGAAAAACAAACACAGCTTGTTTATTAGAATCAAAAAAGAGAACTTTCTCCCACAAATACAGTGCTGCCTCTCAGTTTCTATCAAGAGCAAGACAACAGTTGAAAATTGTATTCCTGAGAAGCAAAAAAGTTGACAAACATAACAGGTGATTTCAAGGAAAGATAAAAAAGAACCCCTTTTCATTTTTAACAAAAAAACAAATTTTCAAGTATTATTCCGGATTACATGGCAAACCTAATGTAGCAAGAAAGGGAGGGGAGGGGGCAGGCAAGCCTCCACAACCCCCATCAAGAGCTCTGTGGGTGGGGGTCTAACCAGGGGGCTCTTCCACCAGAAGCAGGGCCAGCCCTGTGCTAGGGAGCTGAAACTCCACTCACACACTCAGCAAGAAGCTGCTAACTTGACATCCACATCCAGGGTTAGCAGTTTTGGACAAATGATTTTTTTTTTAATAAAAACATGTTCAAGCCGGGCACTGGTGGCTCACGCCTGTAATCCTAGCTACTCAGGAGGCTGAGATCTGAGGATCGCGGTTCAAAGCCAGCCCGGGCAGGAGAGACCGTGAGACTCCTATCTCCAATAAACCACCAGAAAACCGGAAATGGCGCTGTAGCTCAAGTGGTAGAGCGTTCGCCTTGAGCTGAAGAGCTGAGGGACAGTGCCCAGGCCCAGAGTTCAAGCCCCACGACCGACAAAAAAAAAAAAAAACATGTTCATTCTTTCAAATATTATACTATCACCAATCGCAATTTGTAAATTATAAATTATATTATTTGTGCTAGTTTGTGATATTTAAATCTTATTAGAAGCACCAAACCTATTAAAATAAAAATATATAAAAGGCTGTGATATCCCAACAGCAGAATAATCTGTACATCATACAGGCTGTAAACTTAAGCTCCCTTTGCTTAAACAGTATGCTCTGATAAGCCTCCTCCTTTCTCCCATCAATCTTTTCCTGAAAAGAGATTCCCAGTTCAACTGTAGTTGTGGGAAAGGTACAAAAGCACAAATCTGCACTGTCATTGTCCCTGCAGGAGGGGAGAGCTGACAGGAAGTTTTCAGTTGGCCAAGGAGTCTCACCTTGGAGTAAAAACCACAAAAGAAAAAGTCACATCATAGTGCCTTGGCCAGACACCCCAGCACCACTTAGGGGAAACTACAGAAATGCCCTTAAAAAGTGTTTACACATGGTATCACTGTCTCCAGGACTCAACAGCTGTCTGCATATCTCCCCAATGCTCAGTTCAGATGATCAGTTCTTGAACCTCGTCTGTTCACAGATGTGATTGAATTTCCTGCAGGAAGAAAATGTCCAAATCATACAAAGAATATCAGAGAAGTGTTCAAATAAAGGACTGTGAAACTCCACACTGGAAGAACCATGTGAGAATACTAAGTGAGTATACCAGCACAACTACTTCAATTTGAAATGATTGATTTGATCAGCTATGAATAAGTGGTCATGCCACTTACTTTTTTAAAAACAGGGCAAAGATTACTGCTAAGTTCTGACCTCACAGGGCAACACAGACATTGCTGTAACATCACTTAAAGACCACACTGAAGGACTGGTAATAGGGCTCAGTGGTAGAGTGCTTACCTGGCATGCATGAGGCCCTGAGTTTGATTCCTCAGCACCACATAATTAAAAATAAATAAAGATCGCACAAAAGACACCATGGTGGTGGTGGTAGGGAGTGGCCAAGTTATACTACTCTCAAATACACTCATACTGTGAGGACCAGTTGTCACAGCCTTACGTGAATGTGTGAATAGGACCTGTAGCATAGGATGGACATTCTCAGCAACCACAGCCACTTACTTATGAAAGAGCTAACCCTGGGGCTGGGAATATGGCTTAATGATAGACTGCTTGCCTAGCATGCATGAAGCACTGGGTACTACATAACCTCAGTTATGTAGGAAGTGGCGCTGTGGCTCAAGTGGTAGAGTGCTAGCCTTGAGCAAAAGCACCTCAGGGATAGTACCCAGGCCCTGAGTTCAAGCCCCAAGACTGACAAAAGAACAAAAAAAACAAAGATCTAACCCTTGAATATATGGCAGCTGTGTTCCAGATGCTATCAGACCTGGGATAAAATGACCCCAGAGATGACAACACAGAGGTGGAAGGTAGACATGTGTACACCAATACCTCAGGAAATAAGGAGAATTTCTACATGAAGATAGTATTTTACATGCTGGGTGACTTTATAGAAGTATACGATTATTACAGTACACCCAAGTCTTAAACCAATATCAAGATCTCTACCACTGAGCTACGTCCCAGATCTCAAATTAATCCATATTTAAACGGAGTTTAAATATGACTGTTTTCATTGCCTTCCTGAATCTCAAGAACCTTTCGCTGGCTGTACCCTCAGCCTGACTTACATTGCATGGTGAGCCTTCACCTGAGTGCGGCAGTTGCGGCCCCAGTAGCAGTCAGGACGAGATGTTACAGCCACTGAAAAAGAGAAGATGCACACCCACATTAGGGATCATACGTAGCCACACAGCTAGCTAATTGAATGTGTAAGCAGAACTATGATGAACCTCTCAGTGCAAGTTTCCTCAGACCATGCTAGGAATTAAGGAAAGGAAAAACAAATGTAGCTGAAAACCAAATCTAGGAAATGAAAGTATTCCAATGATCAGATTGACATCTTTGCTTTAGAAAATTGCATTGCTTTGGCCAACAGTCTAGTCCTATAGTAAATAGCACCTTGACACTCAGGTGCCCATCTCCTTGTCATGTGGGACTTTTATTCTTTTTGTTGTTGTTGTTGTTCATCATGGGGCTTGAACTCAGGGCCTGGACGTTGTCCTTGAGCTTTTTCACTCAACGTTAGTGCTCTACCACTTTGAGCCACAGTGCCACTTTCAGTTTTCTGGTAGTTAATTGGAGAAAAAGACTCTCACAGATTTTCCTTCCTGGGCAGGCTTTGAACCAGGATCCTCAGATCACAGCCTGCTGAGTAGCTAAGATGACAGGCGTGAGCTTGGGACTTTCATTCTATGATGAGCACTGCACCAAGGCCCAAAATGAACATCTGTTATACACAGATCAAGAAGCCAATTAAGACAGACCTGGAGTTGTGGACACCTTACCTGGCAACTCAGAAGGAGGAATGTTCTGCCGATACTGATAGGTCAGCTCTCGGAAGCTGCGAAGGCCACAGCAGTAACATAACACAGTGTTTCCAGTAACTCTGTAATCTGAAGGGAACACAGCCTCATGTAGATAGAGCACACAGGCTCAAGTAACATAGTGGATGTCATTTTCTAACTAGCAGAATAAAATCAGTACTGTAAAATATGGGCTCCATTGATCCATAAATGAGGTGGAATGATGGGTTATACATTTGGAAAACAGCAGCAAAATCAATTTATTTTCTATTAGCGAAGTAATCCCACATGGATTAAAAAATTTTTAAGGTGGCTCAGTGGTAGAGTGCTTGCCTTGCATGCATGAGGCCCTGTGTTCGATTCTTCAGCACCACATAAACAGAAAAAGCCGGAAGTGGTGCTGTGGCTCAAGTGGTAGAGGGCTAACCTTGAGCTGAAGAGCTGAGGGACAGTACCCAGGCCCAGAGTTCAGGCCCACAACCGACAACCCCCCCCCAAAAAAAAAAATCCATAAATATGTTAAGAGCTGGACAATAGTGGCTCAGCCTGTAATCCCTAATATCTGAAGATTGTGGTTCAAAGCCAGTCTGAGCAGGAAAGTCCATGAGACTCTTTTTTTTTTTTTTTTTTAAATTGGCAGTTGTGGGGCTTGAGCTGTGGGCCTGGGCACTGTCCCTGAGCTCTTCAGCTCAAGACTAGCACTCTACCACTTGAGCCACAGCACCACTTCCGGTTTTCTGGTAGTTATTTGGAGATAAGAGTCTCATGGACTTTCCTGCCTGAGCTGGCTGTGAACCCTGATCCTCAGATCTCAGCCTCCTGAGTAGCTAGGATTACAGGTATGAGCCACTGGCATCCAGACCATGAGACTCTTAGCTCCAATTAACCACCAAAATGCCAGAAATGGAGGTGTGGCTCAAATAGTAGAGTACTTGAGCAAAAAAGCTCAGGGACAATGTCCATGCCCTGAGTTCAAGCCCGAAGACCAGAACAAGAAAAGAATAGGGATGGGCTGGGAAAGTGGCTCAGTGGTAGAGCGTTTGCCTTGCATGCCTGAGGCCCTGGGTTCGATTCCTCAGCACCACATAAGCAAAAAGAAAAAAGCCGGAGGTGGCACTGTGGCTCAAGTGGTAGAGCACTGGCCTTGAGCTGAAAAGCTGAGGGACAGCGCCCAGGCCCAGAGTTCAGGCCCCAAACTGGACCCCCCAAAAAAAAAGAAAAGAAAGGGGGGGAAAAAAAGGAGGAGGAGAAACTTGTAATCAGTATTTTCTCTTGAGGTTTTTTTTTTTTTTGGTGAGAATCAGTGAGAACAACTGTGGCTCAAACTCAGGGCTTCTTACCTGCTAGGAAGGTGCTCTATTGCTTAAGCCACCTAGGTCTTTTTGCTTCAGGTTTTTTCCCCCCGCTGAGCTCTTTTATCCAGATCATGATTTTTTCCTTCGTCATCTTTCCAATGAGGTGAGATTACAGATACCACCACACTTGGCATATGTGTGTATGTACCAGGACTAGGGCTCAAGCCTGGAGCTATACCATTTGAGCCACACATCCACTTCCAGTTTTTTGTTGGTTAATTGGAGATGAGAGTCTCAAAAATTTTCCTGCAGGACTAGCTTTGAACTATGATCCTCAGATCTCAGCTAAGATTATAGTTAGGGGCTTACCAGCCCCAGCTTGTTTATGAGATGTGTTACTTTTGCCTAGCTTGGACTCAAAACTGCAATCCTCTTATATCTACTTTACAAACAGCTGGGATTACAGTGTGTCACCACAATGGACCCTCTTGCTGAGAGAGAGAGAGAGAGAGAGAGAGAGAGAGAGTCTTTTGTATACCAGGCCTGGGGCTTCAACTCAGGGCCCAGGCACTGTCCGTGCTCAAGGCTAGTGCTGTATCACTTTGAGCCATCTGTGGTTGTTAATTGGATATAAGTCTCATACCCCAGGACCACTACAAAAAAAAAAAGAGTCTCATACAGCTGGGCTCGGTGGCTAACGCCTGTAATCCGAGCTACTCAGGAGGCTGAGATCTGAGGATTCTGGTTCAAAGCCCTGGCAGGAAAGTCTGTGAGACTCTTAGCTCCAAAAGGAAGTGGCACTGTAGCTCAAGCGGTAGAGCACTCACCTTGAGCTGAAAAGCTGAAGGACAGCACCCAGGCCCAGAATTCAACCCCCACAACCAACAACAATAACAAAAAGTCTCATGCACTTTCCTGCCCAGGCTGCCTTTCAACCACCAACCACATCCTCCTGAGTAGGTAGGATTACATGCGTGAGCCACCAGTGCGTTGCTTAGTGTTTTTATTTTTATTTATTCATTTATGTTGTTGCAGTGCTGGAGAGAGAACCCAGAGCATCACATATGGAGGCAAGGGCTCTGCCGTTGAGCTACCACTCACCTGAGCATTTTTATGTGAGGGTTTCCAGTGACTTATTTTAGCCTTTGCATATCCTGAAATGACTTGTTTTCTTTGTGGGCCTTTATCATTCTTGAAAAAGTAAGAATGCATTGTAAAACAAAAGGTATTCCAAGCAACTGATGGAAGTGGTAGTCACGCTAAACATGAACACTGACAGACAGGCATTCACTAGAACATGTCCTCGAGATAGAACCAGCCAAAAGGGATTTTGACTTAAGAGTTCAATCCTCTCGGGCTGGGAAGGTGGCTCAGTGGTAGAGCACTTGCCTTGCATGCTCGAGGCCCTGGATTCGATTCCTCAGCACCACATAAGCAGAAAGAAAAAAACCGGAAGTGGCACTGTGGCTCAAGTGGTAGAGTGCTAGCCTTGAGCTGAAGAGCTGAGGGACAGCGCCCAGTCCCAGAGTTCAGGCCCCACGACCGGACCCAAAAAAAAAAAACAAAAAAAAAAAAACTGCTTGTTAATATTTCTATAGTTTCCCATAATGGCAATAATCTCACTGCACAGGAACTATGTGCTCCACTAAAAGGCACAACTCTCCCAAGTAATGATCCACCAAGTGTCAGAAAATCTACAATCTGGAGACAATCATCTCTGGACTTCATGCCAACTAATGGTGAAGTCTACCCCAGCCATGTAATCCTAGCTATTCAGGAGTCTGAGATCTGAGGGTCTCATTTCAAAGCTAGCCCAGGCAGATGTCCATAGACTTTTATCTCCAAATAACCACCAAAAAGCCAGAAGTGGAGCTGTGTGTGGCTCAATTGGTAGAGTGCTAGCTTTGAGAATGAAAGCTCAAAGTCAAGAGCTGAGGGGCCCAGGTCCAGAGTTCAGGCCCCATGACCGGACCCCCCCCCCCCAAAAAAAAAAAAAAAAGCTCAAAAAGAAAGTCCCAGATACTGAGTTTAAGCCTCAGGAGTGATACGCTCACACACACACCACCACCCCCCCACCCCGCCCCACCACCACCACCCAATTCTCTGGAAAGAAGGTAAGAGGTCAAAGCTGTAAATGTATAAATGCAGACAGGTAATACAGCCTGAGTATGGCCTGTTAGATTCTCTCTGATCTGGAGGAGGCAAAACAGCCTTAGCAATTCATATCTGTTTTAGAAAGTGGAATGACACTTACCAGACAGTAGAAACACCCCTCGCTGAAGAGCCATGAGACACTCTGTCAGCATATTTTTCCATGTCAGACCCCTGGTCACAAGGTAATTCTGTCATGGGAAATCAAAAGGGCAGTGAGAAATTAAAATTAGTCTAGTGGGAGAAAAACTAAAATTACAAGAGAGGAAATTAATTCACAAGAGGCCCATGAAGGTGTTTGAAGCAAGAGCACAGACACCCCATCAACATTTTTTTTTGTTCATTGTGGGGCTTGAACTCAGGGCCTGTGAACTATACCTGAACTTTTTCACTCAAGGCTAGTACTCTACCACTTTGAGCCACAGCTCCACCTCTGGTTTTCTGGTTAATGGGAGATAAAGAGTCTCATGGACTTCATTACCCAGGCTGGCTTTGAACTGTGATCCTCAGATCTCAGCCTCAGCTAGGATTACAGGTGTGAGCCACCAGCTCCTGGCTCCCGTCAACAATTGCACAGAGCTATCAGGTAAGCTCTGGGTTAACCTCTCACAAGCGCTGTCAAAAGCCTTTCTCTGAGCCTTCACAAGGAGGGTTGTCCTTTATATGTCACCATCCTCTCAAAAATACTGTCTTTCAGAAATATGGGGCAATTAGCTCCTTTTGTGTAAACCTACAAAAAAAAGTGTCAGCATGGACATAAAAGTAAGGTGTGGCACTACTGAGCCAAGCATGCCTGCTGGTATGTCTAGGCAAGCTGAAGGCCCCACATTTTATGCTCTCAGTGGTACTGTACATAAACAGGAGAGAGAGCTCTCAGCAGTAAGGCAGAAGAACATAATTCGCATATTACAACTCTATTAGCTTCCTCAAACGTGGTAAAAGGAAGATGCCAAAGAAAAAGGCCAGCAAGCATTTACAGGAAACCTCTTTATGTTTTCAGGAGACAATTTCTATAGGTTTGGATTCATGGTGTGACCAGCAAAACTGAAACTTATTTTTGGAATATGGAGAAAAACAGCTATGTACAAATGTAATACAGAGAACAAATACTATACTGGTCAGAAAATGCTAAGAATTCTGACAATAACTATACAAGTTGTAGAGTTATCTCAAGATTTCAAACAAAACACCAGAGGTGTGTCCAACTTAACCCCAGGGAGAGAGGGAAGGCAGTACCTTTGTAATTACCTTTGCAGTAAGTACTTTTTTTTTTTTTTTTCTAAAAAAGCACTGATTTCTCATTCGAGCCCACAAATTAAAAACTGGGGGGGAAAAAAAAAAAAACAGGCTATGTAGCCAACTTTTTTTTAGTACTAAAGTTTGCACTCAGGGCCTTGTGTTTGCTAGGCAAGCACTCTACCACTGGAGAACAACATCAGCCCTTTTGTGAATGAGTTATTATTGAAGAAGTCTTGCTTTTTGCCTGGGCCTGCCTTGGACCCGAGATCTTTCTCTTTAGGCTGGGATGACAAGCACATCCCATGGTGTCCAGCCTATTCATGGGCTTTCCTGACTGGGATTGATCTTGGAACCCTCATTCTCTGATCTCAGCTTCTTATAAATCCAGGACAATAAGCATCTATCACTACCTACTCAGCTATCGCTTGAGAAGGGAGGGCTGTCTCCCAGACTTTTCTGCCTAGACCAGCCTTACACTGCAATCTTTCCATTCTTAAAAATTTTTGGGGGGTCCGGTCATGGGGCCTGAACTCTGGGCCTGGGTGCTGTCCCTCAGCTCTTCCGCTCAAGGCTAGTGCTCTACCTCTTGAGCCACAGCGCCACTTCTGGCTTTTTTTTTCTGCTTATGTGGTGCTGAGGAATCGAACCCAGGGCCTCAGGCATGCAAGGCAAGCACTCTACCACTGAGCCACCTTCCTAGCCCCAATCTTTCCATTCTATTCTTCCCAAGTGACTAGGGTTATAGGTGTGAGCCAGCAGGACCAGCTCCCTGCCTTCATTTTACAGCTATCTCCTGTGATTTCAAACTCTGAGTCATATATCTTCTTAGTTCTGCACAGACATGTTAATCACTCAAGGAGTGTCTCTCTACAATTGTTGATACCTAACAAGTCTTATCCCCCCTCATGGCTGAATGCACAGGAAATTATTTATTTATTTATTTATTGTCGGTTGTGGAGCTTGAACTCGGGGCCTGGGCACTGTCCCTCAGCTCTTCAGCTCAAGGCAATCATTCTACCATTTGAGCTACAGCGCCACTTCCGGTTTTCTGGTGGTTTATTGGCCATAAGAGTTTCACGGACTTTCTTGCCCGGGCTGGCTTTGAACTGTGATCCTCAGATCTCTGCCTCCTGAGTAGCTAGGATTACAGGCATGAGCCACTGGTGCCTGGCTAGGAAATTAAAATTTTTGACCCTGTCAAGGTCCTCCATATCAAGATTTTTACTACTCCCTTTATTAGCAGACAGTACTTACTAAAGAAAATGACCTTCAGCCTGTCACCTTCCATAGAAATGGAATGATTACTTCACAGTGGAGACCTGAAAGAGGATGCCCAGTCACTGTCCTAAATAATTCTATTCTGACCCACTCTGGCTGTGTTTTTTTCCTCTTTAACCTTTTCTTCCTGAAACTCTCACCAGCAATCATCTTGGATTCTGAGAACAAAAAGACTGATCTATAAAGTCATGTGATAAGAGTCAAATGTACCCATCGGTAATGATGCCTTTTTTTTTTTATGGTGACAACTCCCAAAAGAACCAATCCTGTGATAATGATCAACCAGATCACAGCCTGACCAAGACTGATTAACCTGTATGCTTCCTGCCTCTTTTCCTTATGACATGGAAGCTCTTTTCAGCATCCCAAAGATAAATGTGGGGTCACTGAACTCCTTGATTCTTCCTGATGTGGCAAGGCCAATTAAAGCTCCTTCTTCTGGTAGGAGTAGCCAAGCCTAGCCTTCAGGGACCACTGGAGCTCAACCTTTTGTCCTAAATCTCTGATAATGCATTTCCCTGCATCAACGTTGACCCCAGGGGGGTGGAAGGTGGCACCTGCCGTACCTTCAGAACGTCTGACTCGTAGTTGTTGTTGTTCAGCACTCCATCCAGACACTTGTCCCCCAGGTTGAGCTCTGCCAGAGGATAGGGAAATGATAAGTCTGTTTCATATTTAAGGATTGTTTGCCTAACAGGGTAACCAATTTTATTTTCCTTACTGATTACAGAAAGGAACAGTTACACAGAGATCCACCTCCTCTCCCCTTCCTCCTGTATTCCCCCTTCTCTTTCTATCTTTCCGGTCAGAATCTGACTATACATACTGAGTTCAGGCTAGCCTTGAACTCAATATGTAACCTACCAGGCTAGCATGAAACTAGATCTTCCTGCCTCCACTTCCCAAGTGCTGATGTTATAAATGTGATATATATAACTAATCCTTCCAGCATCGGAAATTGGTTTTATCCTTAAGTATTATGAGGCAAAATGAATTAGAGATTTCCAAAGCAAACCTTTGCAGTTCAGGAGGAAAAGCTAGGTATATCACTTGATAACTACCAGTAGCTTTCTCCCCTTCTCAGCATATAGCAGTACATATTCAATACTACCACCACCCTCCTCAAGTTCCCCAAGAGAACAAAGGTCAAAACAAGTGAGTGCTAAAGAATTGACATTACCACAGAATGGAGCAAGACAGCCAAAACAGCCACTCCGGCGACAACCCCAGTACAGGTGGCAGAAAGGCTGTAGGCACACTGTACCTGTGGACAGAGGACAGTGGGTAATTTGGGCCCCAGAGCTGCACCTGGACTCACGTGTAATAATTGTCAGCTCCAGATTTAGGAGCTCAACTGCTCAAAAACATTGCTTACAAAGAATTCCCATAGAACGAAGACACAGAGGCCAACACCCCAGTGCATATGCAACAGTAAAGATGACTGAATTGTTATGACTAAAAGTTGTGACTTTAAAAAGGAGCTGGACTCATGGGTCACATCTGCTCCAGCATCCAAATAGCCTGACAGGCTGCCTTCTATGTCTAAAAATATGACATACTTGCAGCAACTGCAATTATACCCCTTTTCTACTTGACACAAATGTTTTCTCTATTACCTTAGTAGACATGATTTTGTGTGTGTGTGTGTGTGTGTGTGTGTGTGTGTGTGTGCGCGCACATGCGCGCGCCTGCCAGTCCTGCTCAGTGATAGAGCCCTTGCTTTGCATGCTCGAGACCCTGGGTTCGATTCCTCAGCACCACATAAAAAGAAAAAAGCCGGAAGTGGTGCTGTGGCTCAAGTGGTAGAGCGCTAGCCTTGAGCCGAAGAGCTGAGGGACAGCGCCCAGGCCCAGAGTTCAGGCCCCAGGACCAGACCCAAAAATAAATGAATAAAATAAATAAAATAGTCATAATGGGATCAATTGATTAAGCAGGTGGGGGGAAAAAAAGGCATTACATCCTTGTTTCACATTCCACACACATCACTATCATGTGAAGCCTGAGTCATGGGGGGATGCAGGAAAGTCCTGTGGGAGGACACCTATCAGATGTACTGGCTTACTCACACTGCTGAGGGGCAAGACGGGGGTCCTGCTCACGTTCAGCTCTCCGGTCAGGCATGGGCTGGAAACAGCAAGTGCATATGGCATGGCTTCCTTGCACAGGGCACACATAATCCTGGGCTGATGAAGAATACATGCCACAGCATGTCAAGACACCAAGTAGAAGGACAGCAAACAAGAGATTTACATTTTTATTTATGTTGTCAGTTGTGGGGCTTTGAACTCTGGGCCTGGGCCCTGTCCCTGAGCTCTTCCACTTGAGCCCTACCACTTGAGCCACAGTGCCACTTCTGGTTTTCTGGTGTTTAATTGGAGATAACAGTCTCAAAGACTTTCTTTCTTTCCTTTTTTTTTTTTTAGGTTGGTCATGGGGCTTGAACTCTGGGCTTGGGCACTGTCCTTGCACTCTTCAGCTCAAGGCAAGCACTCTACTGCTTGAGCCACAGCGCCACTTCCGGTTTTCTAGTGCTTTATTGGAGATAAGTCTCACAGACTTTCCTCCCCGGGCTGGCTTTGAACTGAGATCCTCAGATCTCAGCCTTCTGATTAGGTAGGATCACAGGCATGAGCCAGCAGCGCCCGGCTCTCACAGACTTTCTTGCCCAGTCTGGCTCTGAATGAGGATCCTCAGATCTCAGCCTCCTGAGTAGGTAGGATTACAGGCATAAGCCACTGGCATCTGGCTGAGATCTACATCTTAAAAAGTAGGTGTTAAGTACTCAAGAAGAAAGTTAGGTCCTAAGAGGACAAGAAAGCATCTAAAACCGTCTAAAGTACCAAGTGACTTTCTGCCATTGAAAGTAATGGAGTTCACCTAGAGTGACAAACAGCCAAATTGAGGACTAGAGTATGTGGCTCAGCAGCAGATCTCTTGTTCAGAATATGCAAGGGTCTGGGCTCTATTCAAGCCCCATAAAAATAAAATAAAAATATAACCAAAGATTATCTTTTGGGCTGGCTGCCAGGGGTACATGCCTGAGAGCCAAGCTATTTATGACACTGAAATGAAGAGGATTCAGTGTGAGGCCAGTCTGAGGAATGCATGTGAGACCCCTTCTTAACCACAAATATAGGCAAAAAAGCAAGACTCTATTTCAAAAATAATCAGTGTAAACCTCTGCTTTCACTATATTTGATGTCGGTATAATTTGTGTAGGAGATGGGGAAAAACAAGTCACTTAAGGATACAGGTGGACCCGTTGCAACAATGAGAAGTACAAGTTGTCATGTCGAAAACGAACTTTACAACTTGGGGGGGGGGAGAATGGGGGGCAGGGAGGAAGCTGGGAAGGGATGTGAAGGGTAAACAAAGGAGGAGGCTGCAATGCTTGATAAGAAATGTACTCATTATCTTGCCCATGTAATTGTAACCCCTCTGTACAGTATGTTCACAAAAAATAAAAATTAAAAAAAATAATAAGAATCAGTGTAAACCAAGTGCTGGTGACTCACACCTGTAATCCTAGCGACGAAGGAACCTGAGATTTGAGGATCCTAGTTCAGAGCCAGCCTAAGCAGACAACCCCAAGAGACTCTTTTTTTTTTTTTTTTTTGGTCGCTCGTGGGGCTTGAACTCTGGGCCTGGGCGCTGTCCTTCAGCTCTTCAGTTCAAGGCAAGCGCTATACCACTTGGTGCTACAGCGCCACTTCCGGTTTTCTGGTGGTTTATTGAAGATAGGCGTCTCACCGTCTTTCCTGCCCGGGATGGCTTTGAACCTCGATCCTCATATCTCAGCCTCCTGAGTAGCTAGGATTATAGGCGTGAGCCACCAGCGCCCGGCCCCCAAGAGACTCTTATCTCCATAACCAGCAAAAAGCCAGAAGTGGAAGAATGGTTTAGGTGGTACAGGGCCTCATGCATGCAAAGCGAACACTACCACTGAGCTGCCTCCCCAGCCCCATCCATAGTTTTCTTGATGGCAACTAGGAAAAGGGAAACTGATAGAATAATATTAAGGTCAACTCTGTGGAATCTTGAGGCAGCTTTTGGGAACTCAGAACAGTATGCTGGAAAAAAGACAATCTCTTATTTGAGGAAGAGATATGTATAATTATCATGCTCTTTTTTTTTAATTCACTAGGTGATAGGAGCTATGAAAGAGTGGGTTAGGAAGGGACCCCATGGTGAAGTTTAGGATACTAATTAACAAGTGTGTTCATTAGGGGAGACTCAACAAATGGACATTTATCTGACTCCTTACCAACACTAATTTTCATTTATTTCATTTTTTAGAGATACTATCTCTCCAAGTAGCCCAGGCAGATCTCGGAGTCTTGACCCTCCTGCCTCTGCCTGCTGAGGACTGGGACTACAGGAAAGCCACCCCTTAACTGGCCTGATCCTGATTAAAGCAAACAGGAGGACACAGGAGGCAGGGGGACCGCAGTGAAGCAGTGGACTGGAGGGTAAGAAGGTAGCAAAGAAGAGTCAGAGAAAACATAACACCAGAGCAGTGCAGTAAGGAATCAACACAATGGAACGACTCAGGTTTGGACCTGCTGCCTCACCTGTTGGGAAGCTGGTAGAAGTTGATGGTGTGTCACCCCCAAGAGCCTGAGGGGACCTCAGCTCACTGTCCAGTGCTGGGCAGGGAAGGGGATGCACAGCTTGTCTTCTGTACTCAGGACACTGTCTGCACACGATATATGGCTGACTGCAGGAAGAGCACATAGCAAAACTAAAGCCATGGAAGAGCACGCCCCAGCAGTTCTGTCTGAGTCAAAGCTATCCAACAACTGTCTCCTGTTTCTGGTCATTGAGCCTTCATACTACAGCTCTACCACTGCTGAGCTTCTCTGCACACTGGTGTGTGTGAAGGGGAAGAACAGGCCTTTCTTACCTCCCTAACTCCCACTGTTAGAAAGCACACCACCAAGAACCACTGAGAACAGAGTCTGAAGGGGAGGACCACACCTGCCACACATGCTTGGCACCAACTTGCAGCTCAGTGCTTAGCCACTTCCCTGCTCCATTCCTCACTCCACATGATTCAGCACACTCATCTGAGGCCACTCAGTTCCTACTTGGCAAGACATGGACTCAGAGGCTCCAAGGCTGAGAGGAAACTAGGATCAAACAAGAAAACTACATCAAAGATGTTGCTGGATCATCTAATACATGTGGGTCCTCTCCTTGTTAAAACCAGAGCATAATATGCAACAGCTAAGAGATGTTCTTTACCCAGTTAACTTCCCACCTAGCCAGTAGGAACTCTGTATTATTCATCTAAATTGCCTATCACTTCCCTAAAAATACCTGACCTGTATTTTTGAATAAACTACTAGAAAAAAAAAACTGTAAAGAATCTGGGTTTGGAGGCATGGTTGGCAAAACACTAGTCAATGAGCGAAAGCATCAGGAAGCAAGTTCAGGTCCTGGTCTTGGGCCAAAAAAGAAAACAAAAGAATCCACCAGAAAGTAAATGAGGGGGCTGGGAAGGTGGCTCAGTGGTAGAGTGCTTGCCTTGCACACATGAGGCCCTGGGTTCGATTCCTCAGCACCACATAAGCAAAATGAAAAAAGCCAGAAGTGGCGCTGTGGCTCAAGTGGTAGAGCGCTAGCCTTGAGCTGAAGAGCTGAGGGACAGCACCCAGGCCCAGAGTTCAGACCCCACGACTGGACCAAAAAAAAAGAAAGTACATGAGACTCTCAATTCACTTAGAGAATCTTGAAACCTGACATCAGTGACAGGAACCAGGAAAAGGTAAGACTTGACCAGACAAAGACAAAACACAGTGACGAGATTTACAGTCTCATCTGTAAGGAAAAAACATAAATGCAAAGGACACCCCTACCCCTACGATGAGAATCCCTCATGTGTACCTTACTGAGTCACATCCGAGGGACCTTTCTGATAGGTGAGTTATACACATACCAAACGTCCAAGGCTGTGTTGACAGCTGTTCACACCTGTAATCTTAGCTACTCTGGAGGCTGAGATCTAAGGATTGAGACAACTAGCAAAAAGCTAGAATGACACTCATGAGCCTTGCTAGTGCGAGGTCCTGAGTTCAAGCCCTGGTACTCCCCATCCTTCCCCCTAAGAAAAATCTAGAAAAAGTCCAGAGACATTTAACACCCAATCACACTCTCTTTTTTTTTTTTTCTGGGTCTGGTCATGGGGCCTGAACTCTGGGCCTGGGCGCTGTCCCTTAGCTCTTCAGCTCAAGGCTAGTGCTCTACCACTTGAGCCACAGTGCCACTTCCGGCTTTTTTCTTTGTGCTTATGTGGTGCTGAGGAATGGAACCCAGGGCCTCATGCATGCAAGACAAGCGCTCTACCACTGAGCCACCTTCCCAGCCCAATCACACTCTCTTATGTGGCTATTTCACTTCTATTTACCTATCTTTACCTATATGAAATTGGGTACATATGCATAACACATAGCCTAAGAATGCCCTGCAGCATTGTTCCCAAATTCAAAATGTTGGAACTAGTTCAGAATCCCATGTACAATATGATAGGTATTTATCAGTATACAATTCTATTTTGCCTTAGTTGGTTTTTGTTTGTTTTTGGGACAGGGTCTCACTATATAGCACAGGATGGCCTTAGCCTGGTGAGTGCTGAGGTTAGGCATAGACCATGTCAGGATACATTCTGTTCTGTGAAAGCATGTAGACAGGACATACATATAAATGACAAGATGGATATACTAAAATGTTAGCACCTTGGTTGTGAGTGTAGCTCAGTAGTAGAGTATTTCTCTCATGTGCATAAGACCTTAGGTTTGATCCCCAGAATGACAGTAGAGAACAGAAGAGATGGGGAAAAGGAAGGGAAAAGAGGACAGTGCAAAGGACAGGAGAGAAGGGAAACAAAGGATGAGGAGAGGAGGGGAAGGGCGAGGAAGGAAGAAAGGGACATTTCACTGCTAAGGCTCCACTCTGTGTAGACCACTGAAAACGTAAGCACAGGGCTGACGTCCCACTCTGAGCCAACCACAGGACTCACCTTATGTCTGAGGATTCACTGTCAACATCAGACAGCTCTAGCAGGTCCTCTGAACTCCCTTCTTCATCAGAGAAAGATCTCCTGACTTTTGGCTGAAGCATGTCTTGAGTGATCTTATTCCTGGCGTCCATACTTCTCACATCTTCTTCACTGCGACTCTTATCTGAATGCAAAAGACAAAGGGTCATTCAAGGGCAGTGCCTAGGGAATATTCAAAAGCAACAAACAGGGAGATATTGAAGACTGTTCAAAGCAGAACCTGTGGCCCCAACTCCTGAAGAAAATATGGTCCAGGGGGTCTGACCACTTGCCTGGGTGTTGGACAAGGTAAGCTTCTACAAGGTTGTTCAGGATGTGGTTTTTACAGATTCGTTCCACTGGACAGCGGCAGGTGGGGCACAAAGATGAACGTTCCATCCAGCCAGAGTAGCAAGCTGCACAGAATGTGTGCATGCAGGGCTGCAAACTGGAAGACAGGAGGAACACATCTCCAGACAGAATCCTCCCAATATTTGCCTCTGTGACCCCTTGGAGAAGGTCTGCAAGCAGGCACATTCAGGGAGAAGGGCAAGCTGCATTCAAGCCATTGGACCCACTTTCAGGCCATCTATCATCCACCTAAAAATACTCCAGGGCTGATAAAAAGTCATATGGTGCCTGTTTTTAGGAGGGTCAGAGGAGAGCAGATCATGACTTCAGGAATATAAGCAAAAGCACCAAGTTGTTTGGAAATGAAAGTTGAATTGGTTCTGCCTCCTAAATTCTTCCAAGAGTAAAGAGAAAGCTACCCCTGGGATAATCAATCTATGATAAATACTATATTTCTTTAACTAAGAAGTATATAAAACTTGATATAGTTTATCTGATCTGTCTGCAAGGTAGATGGATTTGCTGGGATACCTATGAGCTATGTTAGTCAAAACCAAGGCTGACCAAAAGGCTCTTTATGCTTAGCCTCCTCCTCTCACTCATGAAGTGCTGGGTGCCAGAGATAGAAGCCTTGTCACACCTGTGCATGGGCAGAGACAGGAGCTCTTAGGGCAACAGTTCTGAGCCTGTCACCCATACCCGTGGCCTAAGGTGGCAGCAGCTCACTGGCCATAAGGCACAGAAAGAGGATGTTTCTCTCATCTTAACCTGTAAGCTAGCTCAGCTTTCTCTATAATACAGGAAACAGTCCTCCTGTTCCCTGTATGACCAAAACTGTGGGCACCTGCCGAGTGCAACTTGTTATTAATATCTTGATGTGTCCTTTCCCTTCCTTATTGAAAAAATGAAGTATAAGTAAATATGCTGAACCAGAACCTGGGCTGTCGTCAGTCCCTCAGATTTCTGGGTGCTGACAACCCATCTGGTCCCAGCTTTCTGTAAGGTTTATGTAAGTGTTTCCCTCAATCTCGTACTGTCTTCCCTCAGAGACAGCGCACTCCCAGGACCCAAGCCAGCCTTGGGTGTGAGGAAGCGTACCTCACACAGTCATGTAGCAGGTCTTGGCAGATGATACAGGTGAGTGTCTCCTCCATCTTGTCAGGCTTCACAGAGGCAATTCTGACATCCTCACAGATGGTTTGGGTATTTCTACACTGATCCGCAACCAACTGAAGGTTCAATTCGAGCTCCCCATCTGCAAGAGAAAGAGGTAAGTTCTGACTGTCACAACCAAGGAGGAAACCAATATAGGGCTTTTTTTTTTTCTCCCAGTCCTGGGGCAATGCCCTGGGCAATGCCCTGGGCACTGTCCCTGGGCATTGTCCCTGTGTGTCTATCTATGTGGTACTGAGTAAGCAAACCCAGGGCTTCATGGTATACATGCACTCTACCACTAAGCCATCTTACCAGCCTTTTCTTTTTCTAGAAATATTTTAACTGTGGGATGGGAAGATAGTTCAGTGATACAGTGCTTAATTGCCTTGTATGCATGAGGCCCTGGGTTCAATTCCTCAGCACCACATAAGCAGAAAAAGCCAGAAGTGGCACTGTGGCTCAAGTGGTAGAGCGCTCACCTTGAGCTGAAGAGCTGAGGGACAGGCCCCAGGCCCAGAGTTTAGGCCCTATGACTGGGAAAAAATATATATATTTTAACTGGTAGACACAGAAAATACTCAGACTTCTACTCTCCAGAAGCGGAGAATACACAGCTGTTGACATTTGATTATATTTATAAAGACTGACATTTGTTTACATTTATGAAGACTTTAAAAAATTTTTATTTTGGAGATACTGGGGTATATACTTCGGGTCTGTGTCACTTGAGCCTTAGCCCCTTTTGCGTTTATCTTTCCAGATAGGTCCTCATAACTTTTATCTGAGTTGGCCTTGGACTAAGATCCTTCACCTATGCCTCCCACATACCTAGAATTAATCGTTGTGTACCACCCAGCTCATTTCCTTTGTGCTTAATTTTTAAGTCAGTCATGAGGCTTGAAATCTTGGCCTGGGCTCTGTCCCTGAGCTCTTCAGCTCAAGGCCAGTGCTCTACCAATTGAACCACAGCACTACTTCCAGTTTTCTGGTAGTTAATTGGAGATAAGAGTCTCACAGACTTTCCTGCCCAGGCTGCCTTTGAATGTGATCCTCAAGTCTCAGCATCCTGAGTAGATAGGATTACAAGAGTGAGCCACCAGCACCCAGGTGTGCTTGGTTTTATTTCGCAGTACTAGAGCTTCATGCTTACTAGGCATAAACTCAACCATTTGAACTCTGCCTTTAGCCTACACCCAACTTATTTGTCTCACTAACAGTTTGCTCAGATTGGCCACAAATTGCAATCATTTCAATCTCCTGACTATTGACAAGGTAAGGTTATCAGTGTGAGCCTCCACCCCTGGCCCTTTACAAGACCTATTATATGTTGTGACTGTGTGTGCAGCTACTGGAGCACATACTCAGAGCCTGTGTGCTGTCCCTGAGCTCTTTCACTCAAGGCTAGGCCCACTAGCACTTGAGCCACAGCTCAATGTCTAGCTTTATGCTGGTTAACTGCATGCAAGAGGCTTATCCCAGATAGACTTCCCTGCTCAGTTTCTTCAAGCTGTGTTCCGAGATCTCAGCTTCTAGAGTAGCTAGGATTACACGTAGGAACCACCAGTGCCAAGCCTACAAAGTCTCTTTTAAAATGCCCCCAAATTGGGCTGGGAAGGTGGCTCAGTGGTAGATTGCTTGCCTTGCATGCATGAGGCCCTGGGTACAATTCCTCAGCACCACATAAGCAGAAAAAGCTGGGAGTGGCACTGTGGCTCAAGTGGTAGAACACTAGCCTTGAGCTGAAGAGCTGAGTGACAGCGCCCAGGCCCAGAGTTCAGGCCCACGACTGACCAATAAATAAATATAAAATGCCCCAAGTTTTAAAGTTTTTTGTTTTGTTTTGTTTTTGGTTTTTTTTTTTTGGGGTCCGGTGGTAGGGCCTGAACTCTGGGCCTGGGCTCTGTCCCTCAGCTCTTCAGCTCAAGGCTAGCGCTCTACCACTTGAGCCACAGCGCCACTTCCAGCTTTTTTCTTTTTGCTTATGTGGTGCTGAGGAATCGAACCCAGGGCCTCAGGCATGCAAGGCAAGCGCTCTACCACTGAGCCACCTTCCCAGCCCCCAAGTTTTTAAGTTTTATATTACATTATGCTTAAGTTCTGTTTTAGAGGAACAATCACTGATCTAAAAGAAGATGTTCAAGGATAAAAAACAATGGCCAATCTGGGCAATACTGGCTCACACAGGTAATCCTAGCTACTCAAGAGGCTGAGAGCTAGAATTGTGTTCCAAAGTCAGCCCAGGCAGGAAAGTCCATGATACTCTTATCTCCAGTTAACCATCAGAAAACAAAAAGTGGAGTTGTGGTTCGGTAGAGTGCTAGCCTTGAGTAAAAGAGATCAGGGACATCACCCAGGCCCTGAGTTCAGTCTCTAAAACTAGAGGGAGGGAGAGAGGGAGAAAGAGAGAGAGAAAGAGAGAAAGAGAGAGAGAAAGAGAGAGAGAGAGAGAGAGAGAGAGAGGAGAGAGAAAGGTTGGGGGGAGAGAAGAGGGAGAGAGGGGGTGAGGGGCCAAGGGGGAGGGAGAGGAAGAGAGAGGGAGAGGGGGGGAAGAGGGGGAGAGGGAGGGGGAGGGGGGAGAGGGAGGGGAAGAGGGGGAGAGAGAAAGAGAATGGACACACCTGGCCTGGCAGTATGAGCCTGTAGTCACAACTACTTGGGAAGCTGAAGTAGAAGGTCAGGACTTCAAGGCTAGCCTTGAAATAGTGAGATCTCATCTCAAAAAAGAGATCTTAGCCAGTAATCCTCAAACTGGTAATCCTAGCTACTCGAGAAGCTGAGATCTTAGGGGCAACAGTTCAAAGCCAACGTAGATGGGAGACTCTGAGAGACTCTGATCTCCAATTAGCCCCCAAAAGAGGCTGGAAGTATAGATGTGGCTCCAGTGCTAGAATGCTACACTTTTGTGATAAATTTTGGAGACTACACATATTTTTTTAAAAGCCTTGCATTTTTTTCAGTGTAATTGCTGTGAATTCTTTCTGAGTCCTCCTCAAGCCAATCCAATTTTCCAGCTCAGAGAGTCCAAGTCCTCTTCCCTTCGGACATTCCGCATCTCTCTATCACAATGCTCTCTGATCACACTGAGTTGTAGCTGCCATGTGGCCATCACTACACCACCATACCACCACATTACCACACCACCAAACCACATCACCACCCCACTACACAAGAACAGGTCACCATACATTACCACACCACATTACCACATCACTACACTACCACTTTATCATATCACCACACCAGCACATTACCACACCACACCACCAATTACCATACCACCACACATTTTTTTTCAGTCATGGGGCTTGAACTCAGGCCCTGGGTGCTGTCCCTGACCTCTTTTGCTCACTTCAAGTGACAGCATCACTTCCATGGCTTTTACTTTTTATGCTTTTTTGTTGTTATTGATTCTTGCATCAATCCCGGAACACCCTCAACCACTAAACTTTGGCTATTAAAGTATAGATTCTTAGCCAGGGGCCAATGACTCATCCCCATTATCTTGCTAATTATAAGGTTGCCACCTGGATGATCAGGGTTCAAAGCCAGCCCCGGCAGAAAAAGTCTGAGAGTCTCTATGCTCTAGTTAGCCAGCACAATGCCAAAACTAGAGCCATGTGCAGAAAAGCTGAATGAGAGGCTAAGGTCTTAAGTTCAAGCCCCAGGACCAGCACAACAAATAAGCCAACATATAGGTTTTTTTCTCTTTAACTCATCCCAATGTGAAGGTTCAAACTATCACTTAAAGATAACATATTGTGTCCGTGGCTCACATCTGTAATCCTAGCTACTCAGGAGGCTGAGATCTGAGGATCATGGTTCAAAGCCAGTTCAGACAGGAAAGTCTGTGAGACTCTTCTCTCCAATTAACTACCAAAAAAACTGGAAGTGGTGCTGTGGCTCAAGTGGTAGAGCGCTCACCTTGAGCTGGAGAACTCAAGGACAGTGCCCAGGCCCAGAGCTCAAGCCCTATGACCCACCAAAAAAAAAAAAAAAGAGAACATCTATTTTTAAAAAAATTCCTGTCATGGGACTGGGAAGGTGGCTCAGTGGTAGAGCGCTTGCCTTGCATGCATGAGGCCCTGGGTTCGATTCTTCAGCACCACATAAGCAAAAAGAAAAAAGCCGGAAGTGGCGCTGTGGCTCAAGTGGTAGAGCGCTAGCCTTGAGCTGAAGAGCTGAGGGAAAGTGCCCAGGCACAGAGTTCAGGCCCCACAACCAGACCAATAAAAAAAAAATTCCTGTCACATTAAGTCAGAAAACTTTTGGTATCAATTCTGCAACTCAGAGTGTAATTACCAGACCATAAGTATACTCTGGAAGTAAACACAGTTCTAAGCCAGGTACTGGTGGCTAATGCCCACAATTGTACCTACTCTGATCCAAGACAATCACAGCAGAAAAGTCTGTCAAACTCTTTTTTTTTTTTGGGTCCAGTAGTGGGGCCTGAACTCTGGGCCTGGGCGCTATCCCTCAGCTCTTCAGCTCAAGGCTAGCGCTCTACCACTTGAGCCACAGTGCCACTTCTGGCTTTTTTCTTTTTGCTTATGTAGTGCTGAGGAATCGAACCCAGGGCCTCGAGCATGCAAGGCAAGCGCTCTGCCACTGAGCCACCTTCCCAGCCCCATCTGTCAGACTCTTATCTCAACTTAATCAGCAAAAAAGCAGGTGTAGCTTGGATAGTGAGAGCCAGCCTTGAGCAAAAAAGCTAAAGGAAAGTGCAAGGCTTTCAGTCTCAGGACTGTCATGCACATGTACACACATGCATGTGCACACGCGCACACACACACTCATGCAGGGGTACACACACCACAAAACAGCAAATAAAAGGCAGTTTTTATCGGAATTAATGAAAACAGGAAAGAGGCCCACACTTTCACTCTGAAAACGTGAGCTGTTATAGGGCATAAACCTGTAACAAAAAGTGGGGCACCACTGAGGGCAACAACCATCATAGTACGGCACGGCACACTCTATGTTCAGTGTCTTTTCTCCAGAACTAAGATTATAGTAACGGCACTTCTTTGACATCTCAGGGAAATTATCTTATCATTTATAGCCAGGACTTATCACACTATTTCACACCTAACAGACACTCAGAAAGTATTAAATCACTATAAGAGGCCGAAGAGGCAGAGTGGCAAGACTCTAACCTCCTTTTATCTTCTTTTTAACAGGCTCCAAATTCTCCTGGTCCTGGGGTTCCAATAAGGGAAAGGGTGCTTCTTCTCTGCTTGGGAGAGCTGGAACAAGGTTGGAGAGTTCGTCACTGGCCAAAACTGAGCCATATCCTTTTGAGGAGATACCTACATCCCCAGACCCTGAGAGAGGTGACAAACAAGAAAGGAGAGAATATATCAAGAAAGTTTCACTGATTTAAATCAAGGGAGTTTGAAATCCCAAATATCATAGCTTAAGAATAGCATGTGGTGGGGGCTGGGAAGGTAGCTCAGCGGTAGAGCGCTTGCCTTACATGCCTGAGGCCCTGGGTTCAATTCCTCAACACCACATAAGCAAAAAAGAAAAAAGCCAGAAGTGGCACTGTGGCTCAAGTGGTAGAGTTCTAGCCTTCAGGTGAAGAGCTGAGGGACAGTGCCCAGGCCCAGAGTTCAAGCCCCATGACCAGACCCCCCCCCAAAAAAAAATTAAATTAAAAAAAAAGAATAATACCAAGTGGCACTGGACACCGATAGATCACGCCTGTCATCCTAACTACTCAGAAGGCTGAAATCTGAGGATCACGGTTCAAAGCCAGCCGGGCAGGAAAGTCTATGAGACTCTTATCTCCAATAAAAACCATTAGAAACTTTGTATGTCCCTCCCCCATGGTATAACCCCTGCTTTCACTGTATTTGAGTTGGTATAATTTGTGGAGGGGAAGGGAGAAAACAAATCATTTAAATAGGGATACAGGTGAATCCATTGCAACAATGAGATGTACAAGTTATGTGGAAAAACGAACTTTACAACTTTGGTGGGGGGTGGGGAAGGGAGATGGGAAGGGATGGGAAGGGGAAACAAAGGAGGAGGCTACAATGCTTGATAAGAAATGTACTCATTATCTTGCCCATGTAATTGTAACCCCTCTGTACAGTATTTTCACAATTAAAAAAAAAAAAACTAGAAAAACAGAAGTGGCACTGTGGCTCAAGCGGTAGAATGCTCACCTTGAGCTGAACAGCACAGGGACAGCGTCCAGGCCGAGTTCAAGCCCCACAACCAACAACAACAACAAAAAAGAATAGCACATGGGACAAATGCTAGTGGCTCATGCTTGTAATCCACTCATGATGCGATGCTGAGATCTGAGGATCACAGTTCCAAGCCAGCCCAGGGAAAAAAGTCTATTAAATTTTTTTTTTTTTTTTTTTTTGGCCAGTCCTGGGGCTTGAAATCAGGGTCTGGGCCCTATGCTTGAGATTCTCTGTGCTCAATGCTAGCACCCTACCACTTGATCGATAGCACCATGTCCAGCTTTTTTTTTTTTTTTTTTTTTTGGGGTCCGGTCGTGGGGCCTGAACTCTGGGCCTGGGCGCTGTCCCTCAGCTCTTCAGCTCAAGGCTAGCGCTCTACCACTTGAGCCACAGTGCCACTTCCGGCTTTTTTTCTTTTTGCTTATGTGGTGCTGAGGAATTGAACCCAGGCCTCGGGCATGCAAGGCAAGCGCTCTACCACTGAGCCACCTTCCCAGCCCCAATGTCCAGCTTTTTTTTTTTTTTTTTTTTGGGGTCCGGTCGTTGGGCCTGAGCTCTGTCCCTCAGCTCTTCAGCTCAAGGCTAGCGCTCTACCACTTGAGCCACAGCCCCACTTCCGGCTTTTCTTTTCTGCTTATGTGGTGCTGAGGAATCGAACCCAGGGCCTCAGGCATGCAAGGCAAGCGCTCTACCACTGAGCCACCTTCCCAGCCCCTGTCCAGCTTTTTTTATGTGGTACTGAGGAATTGAACTCAGGGCTTCTTACATGCTGGGCAAGCACTCTACCGCCACATTCTCAGCCCCAGGAGACTCTTATCTTCAATTAACCATGCTGAAGTGAAGCTGTGGCTCAAGAGGTAGAACACTAGCCTTGAGCAAAAAAGCTCAGGGACAGTAAGAGGCCAGGACTGGCACCAAAAGAAAAAATAACGGCCAGAAAAGCCCTGGTAACATAAACTGAGCTTACTCTGGCTGTGTGTTTCTAGACTTCTTATGGGAACTAGTTTTTCTCTTATACCCCAACTCATATTTATATTTAAGAGAATCTCTATTTACATGAAACCCACAGATTGCTATACACTGTAAGAACAGAAAACCAAGCACGCATTCTAGAAATAAAGAGTTACCTTAAAACTAGGCAACAAGGGCTGGGAAGGTGGCTTAGTGATAAGAGCGCTTGCCTTGTATACATGAGACCCTGGGTTCGATTTCTCAGCACTACATAAGCAGAAAAAGTTGGAAGTGGCAACCGTGGCTCAGTTGGTAGAGCACTAACCTTGAGCTGAAGAGCTGAGGGACAGTGCCCAGGCCCAGCAACCGACCAAAAACAAAAAAACAAAACTAGACAAAAAAAGTGATAAAATTCTACTGAAAAATCTTAAGAAAATCTGTGTGTACATATGTTTGTTTCTGGACTCAGGATTCAGGGCTCAAGAATATAAGTCACACACTCTTCCACTAAGCCCCCAACCCTCACTGCAGAATACCAATGTGCTTAAGAAAGAGGAAAAAATATTTTCATATGTATTATAAAAATATCAGGAAGTGGCACTGTGGCTCAAGTGGTAGATGCTACCCTTGAGCTGAGGAGTGCAGGGACAGCACCCAGGCCCAGAGTTCAAGCCATATGACCGACCAAAATCAACATATAAAAAAAAAATTTAACTTGAAAAACTATTTTGAAGATAATCTGGAAGGAAAACACATAGTTGGGGAACAGTTGAGAGAGTAAACTCAAAAATATATGTATTGTATTCTAACTCAGGGAATATTTATATATACAATACCTATAAGGAAACATTAGCATCACATCACACTTAGACGGAGTGAATTTTCCCAGTGACCATGGAAGAAGGGAAAAAGAGCCTAAAAGGACAAAGGCATGTAAACTGGTTTACATATCCTATGCAAGGTAAACTTTGAAAGCAGTATGTCAAGTGAAAAAAACAAGTCACAGAAGACCACACATAGTATGATTCCATGCAAATAAAATGTCTAAGAAAGGCAAATAAACACAAATATATGGAGTTCCGGTTAGATAACAGAATGTTCTGGAATTAGCGGTAATGAATGGATAATGTATAAATATACTAAAAAACACTGATGTGTACACATTAACAGGCTGATATTTATTGTATGTGAATTACATTTTTATAGTTTACATAAACTAAGGCCCTTAGGCTTTACCATTTTGGGGATGGAACAAGTTATAATTTACTACTATAGAACACTCACTAATGATAATCTTCTGTAGTGGCTCTTCAGTCTCAGTGACAACACAGATAAGGATTAAGGAACAAAAATGTACCACTGCCATGATGATCTCCATCACGCTAGAGCTTGAGGAGTGCTCTTTACCTGTGGGAGTCAGCTCTGTGGATGAGGTAGAGGCCATGGGGAAGAGGTCTGATGTGGATGTCGATGGCTGTGCTTCCTCCACGCACACCTGAGCGGCAGGCAACAACGGTATATCCTGGGAGTCATCACCCAACCCTGGAGCTGAGGTATCTTTGGTCACATGGAACACATTTTCTTTATTGGCTTCTGCAAGCCCAAAAGGAACAGAAGGAACACAAAAGGAGCTCAAGAAAATACTGCACAGGTCTTAAAACACTGTTCCTAGTATTCAACAACCCTTCACATTGTCTTTGCTACAAGTTAACTTACCAAAGGATTCTTGAGTAATGCCTTGCTTTTCATTTAAAGATTCATAGAGGTATGCCACATCTAAAAGGAAATTAATCAAATAAAAAATGGTAGCCATATCAAAAAAAAGCAGTATCTAAGACAAGTGCCAGGGGCTCACGCCTGCAACCCTATCTACTCAGGAGGCTGAGGATCATGGTTCAAAGCCAGCCTGGGCAGGAAAGTCTGTGAGACTTTTTTTTTTTTTTTGCTGGTCCTGGGGCTTGAACTCTGGGTCTAGGCTCTCTCCATGAGTTTTTTGGGTCTATTTGTTTTTTGTTTTTTGGTTTTCTTTGGGTCCAGTCCTGGGGCCTGAACTCTGGGCCTGGGCACTGTCCCTCAGCTCTTCAGCTCAAGGCTAGCACTCTACCATTTGAGCCACAGCGCCACTTCCAGCTTTTTTCTTTTTGCTTATGTGGTGCTGAGGAATCGAACCCAGGGCCTCAGGCATGCAAGGCAAGCTCTACCACTGAGCCACCTTCCCAGCCCTCTCCTTGAGGTTTTTGCTCAAGGCTAGTGCTCTTCCACTTGAGACAAAACACCACTTCAAGACTTTTTCTGAGCAGTTTATTGGAGATAAAGAGACTCACAGATTTTCCAGCCTGGGCTGGCTTCAAACTGATCCTCAGATCTCAGCCTCCTGAGTAGCTAGGATTACAGGTGAGAGCTATCACATCAGCTCAGTAAGATTCTTATCTCCAATTAAGAAACAAAAGTATAGCGGTAGGGCCCTAGCCTTGAGTGGAAAAAGCTCAAGCACAACACCTAGGCCCCAAGTTCAAGCTCCAGGACTGGCATGCACATACATGCACGCACACACAGTATTTCATCTCTATTCTCATCTTTTCAATCCTGTCATAGCTTATCTGTTGATTATCTTCATTTAGCATCAAATAACAACATCTACTGACTTAGATTCCAACACAAGTGAAGCATTCTTTTTTTGGGGGCTGGTCCTGGGGCTTGAAATCAGGCTCTAAGCACTGTCCCCAAGCTTTTGTGCTCAAGGATAGCACACTACACTACCACTGTGAGCCACAGCACCATTTCTGGCTTTGAACAAACATGACCATCAAATCTCAGCCGCTCAAGTAGTTAACATTCTAGGCAGTGAGCCACTGGTACCCAGCAATGACCTATTATTATGAACCTAAAACTATGCATATCTCAGAGGAAAAAATGGTTTCAGGCAGCAGACTAAGGTGAAGAATCTCATGCCTTGCTTATAATTGCAAGCCACTGAAAACAGGAACAGATACAAGATTCCTCTGGGGGCTAGGAATGTGGCTTAGTGGTAGAGTGCTTGCCTAGCATGCATGAAGCCCTGGGTTCAATTCCTTAGTACCACATACATAGAAAAAGCCAAAAGTGGTGCTGTGGCTCAAGTGGTAGCGTGCTAGCCTTGAGGAAAAAAGTTCAGGGACAGTGCCCAGGCTCTAAGTTCAAGCCCCAAGACTGGCAAAAAAAAAAGAAAAAAGAAAAAAGAAAAATTCCTCTGTAAGGCAATGGCCTGGTTTATGTTGAATATGACCTGAATGATATTTGTCCACCCCTTCCTTTTCCTTACTAAGAAGAGACTTTTCAAAGGATTTCCCTGACTCATGTCCTTGACTCCCACAAACACAAAGCAGAATCACCATTATGCTCTAGGCCCCTATTCCTGCACTTTATTCCTACAGTTACAATTCTTCTACTTTTACAACCCACCCTACCCCATTCATTCCTTCATACCACCCAATTTAGATATAATGCCCACAACTACATTAGCATTCTTTAAGAAAGTCTCTAAATAGTTAGCATTCAGTTTTCAATTGCTTACACCAAAAGTCTACATAAACATGTATATTAAGGTCAGGAATGTAGCCAACCCTAACTTCCCTATAGGAAATATCTCTTTCAACAAATTTTCTTTCTGAAGATGTTGGTCAGTCTCATCTGAACTTTAGTGCAGCATCTGGGCACATGTCTAACCCCAGTGAGTTTTCCTCTTACTGTGTTCCGGCTCATTCTTCCTGTACACTAAATAGATGACATCCCCAGACTGTAGAGGACAAGTCTGTTTTTTAACAACCTTCAGCTTATTGATTACTGTTCCATTGGTACTGTAAAGAAAGAAAGGAAAAGGCAAATTACCCTACTCAAAATAACTAGGATTATTAAATTTTTCTACCACTGTGAGGAAATCCGCTCAATATTATCACTGTGAAAAATAGTCATAGGAATGATGTAACTATTTAACAATGTATTCATGCAAATACCATCTGACAAAGTTCTTGAGAAAAATCTTGCTGGTCATTTCCTTACTGACAAACTAACTAGCAACACAAACCTTTTACCCAGTGTTTTACTATTTCTGCTGTTCTAATGCAGACTCTTCCAATGTGCCCCCTTGTGGATCCTGAGGCCTCAGCAGCAACAGCAGTGTACTGTAATTTCCAGCCTCTTCAGAGCTTTACTTAGAGCTATCCATAGCTTTACTCCTTCCCAACAACCATGATCCCAGTCAGTGCATGTCTCAAATAACTACTGACCCCCTTAAGGAACAGGTTCTGGGGAAGCAAAATAAATGCTGGACTAATAACTGGAAGACACCAGGACATCTGTGCTGTGCTCTAAATGGTCTGGGTTTGGCAGTGACCACACTGCTGGGTGGGGAGGTCATGGTGCTAGTCCTAGACCCAGGGTCCAGGGGTATGGGAGGAAAAACAAGAAGTGCTTTGTTCAGAGGGATTTCTGAGTAGAGACCTGATATAAAATCAGGAGGTACATGATGGGCAGAGAGCACAGTACACTGAACACATAAAATCTGGTATGTGTAGTATTCTAGAAGGCTTTCCATGTTTCTTTCTTGTGGTATTGGGGATCAAGGCCAGGTTTACACATACTAGGCCAGCCATCCTAAGCTACACCCCTAGCTCTGGCTTTTCACCTTTTCTGTATTACTTAAGTAATTCAGAAAATTAATAATTAGGGGCTGGGAAGGTGGCTCAGTGGTAGAGCACTTGCCTTGCATGCATGAGGCCCCGGGTTCGATTCCTTAGCACCAAGTAAGCAAAAAGAAAAAAGCCAGAAGTGGTGCTGTGGCTCAAGTGGTAGAGCACTAGCCTTGAGCTGAAGAGCTGAGGGACAGCGCCCAAGCCCAGAGTTCAGGCCCCACGACCAGACCCCCCCCCCCCCAAAAAAAAGAAAATTAATAATTAAAAATAAGATTTTTAAGCCAGGTGCCAGTGGTTCACACCTGTAATACAAGCTACTCAGGAGGCTGAGATGTGGGATTCCTGGTTTGAGAAGCCAACAGGAAAAGTCTGTGAGATTCTCATCTTTAATTAGCCACCAAAAGTCTGTAAGTAGTGCTGTAGTTAAGTAGTACAGTACCAGCTTTGAGCAAAAAAGGGAAGGGCTGGGCTCCGGTGGCTCATGCCTGTAATCCTAGCTACTTAGGAGGCTAAGATCTGAGGATCGCAGTTCAAAGCCAGCCCAGGCAAGAAAGTCCATGAGATTCTTATCTCCAATAAACCACCAGAAAACCTGAAGTAGCGCTGTGGCTCAATCAGTAGATCACTCACCTTGAGCTGAAGAGCACAGGGACAGCGCCCAAGCCCAGAGTTTAAGCTCCACAACTGACCAAAAAAAAACCTAAGGGAAAGTCCCAGGCCCTGAGTTCAAGCCCCAGTACCAGCACACACCTTAAACAAGTTTTGTGTTGTTGCCAGGTAGGGTGAAACATATGAATAATTCTGGCATTCAGGAAGTTAAGGCCAGAGGAGCCCAAGTTCAAGGCCAGCCTGGGCTATATATATGTATATATAGTATGTGTATGTGTGTGTATATTCATGTATGTTTGTGTGTGTGTGTGTGTGTGTATATATATATATATATATATATACACATATATATACACATATATATCAAAGTTGGTTCTATTTTTCAAGAATCTATACACTATCGATGCCTTTTTTTTTTTTTTTTTTTGGGGGGGGGGGGGTCAGGGCCTGAACTCTGGGCCTGGGCGCTGTTCCTCAGCAATTCAGCTCAAGGCTAGTGCTCTACCACTTGAGCCATAGCGCCACTTTCGGCTTTTTTTTTTTTTTTTTTTTTTGCTTATGTGGTGCTAAGGAATCGAACCCGGGGCCTCAAGCATGCAAGGCAAGCACTCTACCACTGAGCCACCTTCCCAGCCCCCTTTTAAGTTTTATTTCTGAGCCATATTTGATTTAATTAGAGGACTGGAGCCACAGGCACCAAAGCATCACTTAGGATCTCATAATGGAAATCAGAAAATTCATCTTGATGCCTTGAGAACCTAAGCACCATGTGAGAGAAAGCTAGCTGATGTTACTGTAATGAAGCAATACTGTCAGCTTGCTAAGCCACAGAGGAAACAGAAAAGATCAGAAAGTACTCACCTGGTGTCTTCCAGCATCACCTGACCAGACTTTTCATCCACTAAAATTTTACAGTGATCTCCAGACACAAGTTTATTGCTAGGGAATGAGAGGTCGCAGCCTATAACACAAAGGACAGAAGGATGCTGGACATGATTTTAGGTTCTGTGGCCATAACTATCTCTGCTTTCTCAACATATGTAACGCACTATATACATTTGCGAAAACAGCATTTAAATACTTTATGTGTTAACCCGAAGTTAGGGGTAGGGGTTGTGTCCACAACCTTTTTTTTTGCTTGAACTCTGGGCTTGGGCGCTGTCCCTGCCCTCTTCAGCTCAAGGCAAGCACTCTACCACTTGAGCCACAGCGCCACTTCTGGTTCTCTGGTAGTCAATAAGAATCTCATGGACTTCCCTGCCCAGGCTAGCTTTGAATTTCAATCCTCAGATTTCAGCATCCTGAGTAGCTAGGATTACAGATGTGAGTCACCAGCACCTCACAATCTATAACCTTTTTAAGCCTGGTCACCTGGAACACATCCCATCATATAAACACTTCTTCAACATGATTTGTGACATACACATATGCACAGCTTTCCCTGATAAAATAAATATAACCAGAACTTAAAAAAAAAAACCCAGGAGCTGATGGCTCACACCTGTAATCCTAGCTACTCAGGAGGCTGAGATCTAAGGATCGAGGTTCAAAGCCAGCCCAGGCAGGAAGGTCCATGAGACTTTTTTTTGTTTTGTTTTGTTGGTCGTGGGGCTTGAACTCTGAGCCTGGGCACTGTCCCTCAGCTCTTCAGCTCACAAAGATTACCACTTGAGCCATAGTGCCACTTCTAGTTTCCTGGTTGTTTGTTGGAGATAAGAGTCTCATGGGGGGCTGGGAAGGTGGCTCAGTGGTAGAGCACTTGCCTTGCATGCATGAGGCCCTGGGTTCGATTCCTCAGTACTACATAAGCAGGAAAAAAAAGGCCGGAAGTGGTGCTATGGCTCAAGTGGTAGAACGCTAGCCTTGAGGTGAAGAGCTGAGGGACAGCGCCCAGGCCCAGAGTTCAGGCCCCACAACTGGACCTCCTCCTCCCCCCCCAAAAAAAAGAGTATCATGGTCTTTCCTGCCTGGGCTGGCTTTGAACTGCGATCCTCAGATCTCAGCCTCCTGAGTAGCTAGGATTACAGGTGTGAGCCACCGGCGCCCAGCATGAGACTCTTACCTACCATTAGACACCAGAAAACCAGAAGTGGTACTGGGGCTCCCCAGCCAGACCAAGTGGTGAACTAGGGAGCAATTACAGATGAACGTGTTTCAAGACATGACCTTTAGGGACCTTCCAAGGTCTTGAGATGGAGGTTCAGCTACAGCCAACTTCTGGCTCTTTGGTAGTTTACTGGAGACTAAGTCTCATACTGTGAACTTCAGATCTCAGTCTCCTAAGTAGCTAGGATTACCGGTGTGAGCCTCCAGCACCCAGCTGTTTGTTCTTCTTTAAGTAGGCCAGCTACTCTTGTAGGAGCTGCTTCTCCAAGTTGGTCCTGACCAGGTCACTTATGTCAGCCTCCATGCTCAGAAGCAGGCCCTGGTCCATTCTATCTCAAAATACAATCAAAAGCCACCTGCAGCCTGACAGGTACTGTCCATCCTAAGCCTAGACTTCACATTGGTGGCTCTAAAAATCTTGTTGCACTGATCCCCAGTGGTCTCAAAATAGTGACTGTGGTCACAGGAAGACTTTGACCTTTGCTTCTATTATCAGTCTAAGATCTTCACCTCTAGTTAGAACTAGTCTGCTTCTAGACATGTATCTTATAGAGCAAAATACCACTTAGTGAGAACCTGCAATAGTGACACTGTGGTTGCCTGTCAACAGCCTGTTGGACACAAAGTGCCCACATGGCCACTGCCACCAACAGCCCTGAGAGGAGGCTAAGCATGTGCATACCTGGAGGACATAAACATGCCTTAACCATTCTAAGCCCCCAAGGAGGAAGTGGAAAATCTGGAACTCTTATACACCGTTAGTGGGAATGCACATTAGCACAACCACTTTAAAAAAAACAGTTGGCATCTTATTTTTTTTTTTGTTACCAGACCTGGGGTTGAACTCAGGGCCTAGGCACTGTCCCTAAGCTGGTTTTGTTCAAATCTACCACTATACCTTTTGAGCCACCTCTGGCTTTTTCTTTTTGTTTTTTTGGTCAGCCGTGGGGCTTGAACTCTGGGCCTAGGCGCTGTCCTTCAGCTCCTCAGCTCAAGGCAAGCGCTCTACCACTTGAGCTACAGCGCCACTTCCGGTTTTCTGGTGGTTTATTGGAGTCAGGAGTCTCACAGTCTCTCCTGCCCAGGCTGGCTTTGAACCGCGATCCTCAGATCTCAGCCTCCTGAGTAGCTAGGATTACAGGCGTGAGCAACCAGCGCCCAGCTTACCTCTGGCTTTTTCTGTTTATGTGGTACTGAGGAATTGAACCTAGGGCTACAAGCATGCCAGGCAAGCACTGTACCACTGAGCCCCATTCCCAGCCTTGGCATCTTCTCAAGTTAAATATACAATTGACACATACCCCAGTAATTCCACTTCTAGGTATTTGGGTAAGAAAAGTAAACAGGTGTATAAATAAAGAAAATATTTATAGTAACTTAACTTTTTCTTTTCTCTTTCACAGAGGGTCTGGCTGTGTAGCCTATGCTGGCCTTGATCTAGGCTTTGATTATGCATATACTTTCAAAGTTGAAATAAAAAACTGGATAGTGAGATTTATACAGTCCTCTGCTTTCCCAAAATAGATGTGCTGTAAGGTGAAAAATAAGAAGACTTTTGCTTCTACACAACAATCTTTCTCATTCTCTCTCTCTCTTTTTTTTTTTTTGGTTGGTCACAGGGCTTGAACTCTGGGCCTGGGCGCTGTCCCCGCGCTCTTCAGCTCAAGGCACGTGCTCTACCGCTTGAGCCACAGAGCCACTTCCGGTGTTCTAGTGGTTTTTTGGAGATAGAGTCTCACAGACTTTCCTGCCCGGGCTGGCTTTGAACTGCAATCCTCAGATCTCAGCCTCCTGAGTAGGTAGGATTACAGGCATGAGCCACCAGCACCCGGCTTCTCATTCTCTTTTTTAAAAGTACAGAGCCATACTGGTGACATTAATTTTCAGACAAACGAAATGCCTTTGGTGACCTAGGGCATGTCTCGGTAGAAAAGCAACAGAGGAAGTAAAATTACCAGATATTCCTTTAGATGTTCGCTAAGCAGTAAGGGTGAAGGCACTTTCTCTCACTGGTTGTGTAACATTGTTCTAGTCCTTAGCTTCTCAGATTCATTACATAAATATTCTATAAGCTGGGACTTAGCGATCTTTTGAAGTGTAAACAACTACAGCTACAAATTACCATCTAAGCATTGTGTTGCTTTTTTTTTTTTTTTTTTTTGTCGGTCATAGGGCTTGAACTCTGGGCCTGGGCTCTGTCCCTCAGCTCTTCAGCTCAAGGCGAGCGCTCTACCACTTGAGCTACAGTGCCACTTTCAGTTTTCTGGTGGTTTATTGGAGATAGGAGTCTCACGGTCTCTCCTGCCCGGGCTGGCTTTGAACCGCAATCCTCAGATCTCAGCCTCCTGAGTAGCTAGGATTACAGGCGTGAGCCACCAGCGCCCCGCCTGTTGCTTCATTCTTAAGTTTGGTATACTTTGTTTTTATTTGTCTTAAGGCTATGTATGTATCTATGTATGTATCTATGTATGTATGTATGTATCTATCTATCTATCTATCCTATCTATCTGCTGGTATCAGAGTTTGAACTCAGATCCTCACACCTGCTCTGCTGAAACCTCACATATGCCTCCAGCCTATGTCTCAAGGTATTTTCTAAATGTTCCCTTTTGTTTGACCCAGTAGCTGTATAAGAGAAATGCATAGCCAGGCACTGGTGGCTCAAGCCTGTAATCCTAGCTACTCAGGAGGCTGAGATCTGAGGATCATGGTTCAAAGTCAGCCTGCACAGGAAAGTCCATGAGACTCTTATCTCCAATAAACTATTCAAAAAAGCAGGAAGTGGTGCTGTGGCTCAAGTGGTAAAGTGCTGGCCTTGAGCTGAAGAGCACAGGGACAGCACCCAGGTCCAGAGTTCAAGTCCCAAACCTAACAAAAAAATGCTTAATTTCTAAATAAATGGATTTTCCAGGTTTTCTTTCACCAATTGATTTCTAATTTCATTCTGCTGTGGTCAGAGAAAAACCTCTGTATAGCAACGAACATGAGCTCATATTCTAGACAGCAGTTAATACAACTGCTTACCAAAGTGGTAATGAGGACTAAGAGATCTGAATGAAGGATTCAGAAAAGGGAAAAGGGAGGTAGGGAAGGTGGCTCAGTGGTAGAGTGGTTGTCTTGCATGCATGAGGCCCTGGGTTCAATTCCGCAGCACCACATAAGCAGAAAAAGCTGGAAGTGGCACTGTGGCTCAAGCTGTAGATCACTAGCCTTGAGCTGAAGAGCTGAGGGACAGCGCCCAGGCCTACAGTTCAGGCGCCATGACCAACAAAAAAAAAAAAGGGAAAAGGAGACCTGGCAGACAATAAAGTGAACGGTAGGTCTTACCTGGAGTGCACACTGCATCCCTGGCTGCCTGCCTGACCTGCCAGCACGTGGCCTGTCTGCCTGTCCACCTGTCCTGCCACCATTCGTCCTGTCCGCCTGTCATGCCAGCACCCGTCCTGTCCACCTGTCCTGCCAGCACCCATCCTGCCAGCACCCGTCCTGTCCACCTGTCCTGCCAGCACCCGTCCTGTCCACCTGTCCTGCCAGCACCCGTCCTGTCCACCTGTCCTGCCAGCACCCATCCTGTCCACCTGTCCTGCCAGCACTCGTCCTGTCCAGCTGTCCTGCCAGCACTCATCCTGTCCAGCTGTCCTGTCAGCACTCGTCCTGTCCACCTGTCCTGCCAGCACTCGTCCTGTCCACCTGTCCTGTCAGCACTCATCTGTCCACCTGTCCTGTCAGCACTTGTCCTGTCCACCTGTCCTGCCAGCACTCATCCTGTCCAGCTGTCCTGTCAGCACTTGTCCTGTCCACCTGTCCTGCCAGCGCTCATCCTGTCTACCTGTCCTGCCAGCACTCGTCTGTCCACCTGTCCTGTCAGCACTTGTCCTGTCCACCTGTCCTGCCAGCGCTCATCCTGTCCAGCTGTCCTGCCAGCACTCGTCTGTCTACCTGTCCTGCCAGTACTGTCTGTCCACCTGTCCTGCCAGCACCAGTCCTGTTCACCTGTCCTGTCAGCACTTGTCCTGTCCACCTGTCCTGCCAGTACTCGTCTGTCCACCTGTCCTGCCAGCACCCGTCCTGTCCACCTGTCCTGCCAGCACCCGTCCTGTCCACCTGTCCTGCCAGCACCCGTCCTGTCCACCTGTCCTGCCAGCACCCGTCCTGTCCACCTGTCCTGCCAGCATTCGTACTGTCCACCTGTCCTGCCAGCACTCATCTGTCCACCTGTCCTGCCAGCACTCATCCTGTCCAGCTGTCCTGCCAGCACTCGTCTGTCCACCAGTCCTGCCAGCACTCATCCTGTCCAGCTGTCCTGCCAGTACTGTCTGTCCACCTGTCCTGCCAGCACTCGTCTGTCCACCTGTCCTGTCAGCACTTGTCCTGTCCAGCTGTCCTGTCAGCACTCGTCTGTCCACCTGTCCTGCCAGCACCCGTCCTGTCCACCTGTCCTGCCAGCACTCGTCTGTCCACCTGTCCTGTCAGCACTCGTCTGTCCAGCTGTCCTGCCAGCACTCATCCTGTCCAGCTGTCCTGCCAGCACTCATCTGTCCACCTGTCCTGCCAGCACTCGTCCTGTCCACCTGTCCTGTCAGCACTTGTCCTGTCCATCTGTCTGGCCAGCCTCGTCTTGTCCGCCACCTGTGGTTCCTGCTGTCTCCTATCCAATTCCTAGGTCTCAGTTCCTAGCTCCGATCTTCTGTCCAGAGCTGCAGATCTCAGACCCAACCAGCCCTGCACACCGGCAGCCCTACGGTCCGGCCCCGGTACCTCTCCTCAGCCCGACCCCGTACCTCTCCTCGGCCCTGGCGTCCACTCCCGCCTCCTGGCCCGGCCCCTTCCGGCCCGGCCCGGCTGTGTACCTCTCCTTGGCCCGAGCGTCCACTCCCACTCCCCAGCCCGGCCTCGTACCTTTCCCCAGCCTGGGCGTACTCTCCGGCCCGGCCCCGCACCTCTCCTGGGCCCGGCCCGGCCCGGCCCGGCCCGGCCCCGCACCTCTCCCCGGCCCCGCACCTCTCCCGGGCCCGGCCCGGCCCAGCACCTCTCCCCGGCCCAGCCCGGCCCAGCACCTCTCCCCGGCCCAGCCCGGCCCCGCACCTCTCCCGGGCCCGGCCCGGCCCCGCCCCGCACCTCTCCCCGGCCCAGCCCGGCCCCGCACCTCTCCCCGGCCCGGCCCGGCCCCGCACCTCTCCCCGGCCCGGCCCGGCCCCGCCCCGCACCTCTCCCCGGCCCAGCCCGGCCCCGCACCTCTCCCCGGCCCGGCCCGGCCCCGCACCTCTCCCGGGCCCGGCCCGGCCCCGCCCCGCACCTCTCCCCGGCCCAGCCCGGCCCCGCACCTCTCCCCGGCCCAGCCCGGCCCCGCACCTCTCCCGGGCCCGGCCCGGCCCCGCCCCGCACCTCTCCCCGGCCCAGCCCGGCCCCGCACCTCTCCCCGGCCCAGCCCGGCCCCGCACCTCTCCCGGGCCCGGCCCGGCCCCGCCCCGCACCTCTCCCCGGCCCAGCCCGGCCCCGCACCTCTCCCCGGCCCGGCCCGGCCCCGCCCCGCACCTCTCCCCGGCCCAGCCCGGCCCCGCACCTCTCCCCGGCCCGGCCCGGCCCCGCACCTCTCCCGGGCCCGGCCCGGCCCCGCACCTCTCCCGGGCCCGGCCCGGCCCCGCACTCTCCCGGCCCCGTACCTCTCCGCCGCCCGAGCGTCCACTCGCGCTTCCACAGGAGGACGTGCGGCTCGCCCTCCTCGGCGCCCAGGCGCAGGAGCCGCCCCCAGGGCCGCTGCCGCGGCGGCCGCTCGCCGTCCCCGGGCCGCTCCATCGGAGCGCGTCACCGAGACCCGGAAACGCCGGCCGGGGGACGACGGCCCGACCCCGGGAGCCGCAGAGCTCGGCGCCGCCGCCCCTCGGCCGCCGCCCCGCCCAGCCCGCCCGTCGGCCGCGGCGCCTGGCCGGCCGCAGCCCCGCCCGCGCGCCCGCGCACCCCCAGCCACGCGCCGACCCCGGAACCGGCCGCGCCGCCGCCGCCGCCGCTGTCAGCGGACATCGCGGGTCCCCAGCTGATCCGCGGGCGGGACCAGGCGGCGCGTGCGACTATTGGCTGGCGGAAACGCCAGCGAGAGCCCCGGCTAGAGAGGAGCCGGGAGCGTCCGTCCAGCGGGTGGGCGGGCTGACAGAAGGAGCATGCGCAGACGAAAGCCTGAAGGCGAGGCTGCCATCTTTGATTCTGGCGGGGATCGCGGAAGTGGCTGCGGTGAGCGCCATATTATGTGGGGCCAAAGGGGTACAGCAACTTTTACACTTGTTTTGGAAAGATACAAGTGCCTTCTAGGTTCAGAAGCGAAGGTCTACTTTACCTGTAAAAAATGAATGTAAACAGAAGCCATTTTCATTTCCCATTTTCACAAATCAAATTTCAAACGTGGAAAAGGTCAGTAGCAAGGACCAAGGCCTAGGCAAATGAGAGAACCATGGTGTTAGTCAGAGGACAAATTGGATCACGTTTCAGAGAGAAATATTTGCAGAAACGAACAGCTTTCCGTTTTTTATTTTTTTACATTTTTTGTGGGGCTTGAACTCTGGGCCTGGGCGCTGCCCCTCAGCTCTGCAACTCAAGGCCAGCGCCCCACCGCTTGGGCCACAGCACCACTTCCAGTTTCCTAGTGGTTTGTTGGAGATAAGAGTCTCATGGACTTACCTGCCCGGACTGGCTTTGAACCACGAACCTCAGATCTCAGCCTCCTGAGTGTAAGGTCTGCTCCTGGATGGCTAGCAGATTCCACCCTCCTAGCAGCAAAGTCTCCACTCAGTACCTGCATTACCTAGGCAACTGGACACCTGGAAGAGGTCACATCTGCATCCCCTGAGGTCACATCTGAATTTGATGTGGCCACACCTTTCTCCGCCCACACCCTAGATAAGGCCTAGCCCAGGCCCAGAAGCTCTCTCTGCTTTTTTCTAGCTCTTCCTCTCTCCCAGCTCTCTCTCTTTCCCAGCCATGTGGAGTGCCAACCTTGCCTGGTCCCAGCAGGTCTACTGAATAAACATACCCCTTACCTGAATACCACATGTGTGGTGCTGTTCTTACTTGGCTACCTCTTTTTTAAAAACCTCACACTAAGTAGCTAGGCTTATAGGCGTGAGCCACTGGCTCTATCTTTACATTTTAAATGCATGTTTCCCTGGGCTTGGCAATCCCTTTGTAGAAAATAACAGGATCTTTCTGTGTGGCTCAAAGGAAGATGCTGAAGGATGTTCTGAAAATAAAAGGTTATCAGGGCTCAGTGGTAGAGTGCTTGCCTCGCATGTATAAGGCCCTGGGTTCGATTCCTCAGTACCACATAAGCAGAAAAGGCTGGAAGTAGTGTGATGGCTCAAGTGGCAGAGTGCTGCTAGCCTTGAGTTGAAGAGCTGAGGGACAGTATCCTGGCCCAGAGTTCAGGCCCATGAACTGACAAAAAAAAAAAAAAGATATTGGTAGAGCCTATTACAAGCCTCTGTTGTATGCTATAAATTACTGCCCCCAGGCTACAAACCTGTACAGCATGTTACTATTCTAAACATTGTAGGAAATGTAACACAATGGTAATTATGTGACTAAATATACAAAAGATAGAAAATGAATAGTAAGTGGTTAGGCAATAGGAATTTTTTTTTTGGTGGGTTGTGGGGCCTGAAAGCTGGGCCTGGGCACTGTCCCTCAGCTCTTCAGCTGAAGGCTAGCACTCTACCACTTGAGTGTCAGCCCCACTTCCAGCTTTTTCTGCTTATGTGGTGCTGAGGAATCGAACCCAGGGCCTCATGCATGCAAGGCAAGCACTCTACCACCGAGCCACCTTCCCAGCCCTGGAATTTTGTTTGTTTGTTTGTTTGCTTGATTGTTTTTTGTCATGGGGCTTGAACTCAGGACCTGGTCCTTAAACTGTTTTGCTCAACTCTAGTACTTGGCCACTTTGAGCCACAGCTCCACTTCCTGTTTTCTGGTAGTTAATTGGAAACAACAGTTTCAGGGACTTTCCTGCCAGGCTGGTTTTGAACTGTAACTCTCAGATCTCAGCCTGAGTAGCTAGGAATTCAGGCATGAGCTACCAGCACCCAGTACTTCATAATAATCTTACATATCTACTTTTGTGGAGTATAACTGGACTGGTGTCATTCTAAATTACACCATGGACATGGACTTGTACATAGCACAGTTCATTTGCTGTGAATTCTTTGATCTAAGGCAATGCTTTGTAAGTTAACCATTGTTAAAAGGTTAATCATCCTAGAAGCCACACTTTGGAATATGAAATATTGGAGTCTTTATTATACATTTAGTAGGCTTCCTGCAGCCAGTTGTTACAAAGGCCTGTGGCCCTCAAATACATATACCATAGTTAGGAAACAGGCTGGAGAGGAAAGAACAAAAATAATGCCAACAAGTTAATTTAGCTCTGATGGAGAGCTGAATTGGGAAGACATGATGACTGGAGACAAGCCAGGAGACAGAAGTGGCATTGTCCTGGTGGCTGGTCTGGTCTGGGACTGAATACTGAGTGGATCTACAGGAAATTCCCAGTCCCAGGCACTGGACTGACAGATTCAGTAACCCATCAGCTAAGTGCCTGCCCCTGCTTCCAGGGTTTGAGGCATGCCCATCATCTGGGAGGCTGGTGATAGTCAGGAGGCTTTTCCCTCCTCCAGCATGTGGCCATCCAACCATGTGGCCAATTTGGTGCCAACCAGACCTGACCTTACTTCACCATGATGGTGGGTTCTGTGAACCCAAGATTACTTTTTACAGAAGCACTGTGTACAGAGAGAGCAAGTCTATATCCAGACTGTCTATTCCAACAAGAACAAATGGTTTCCCTTTGAATGAAATTGGCTCAATGTAATCAACCTGCTGCCACCAAGTTGTTTCCATGCCAGCTGCAGAGAAATGGGAGATCAAGGAAAGGGGAATTTCTTGAGAGTATATTTAGGAATGATAGGGAACATAGGGATGGTGCCATCTACACTGGGCTTTTTTTGGTAGTCTACCTCTGTTCTGGAAGACCACCAGGAGAGACCCCACAAACATAGACTACAGACAACATAAAGTCTTTATTACAAGCCAGAACTACATTGCTTAATCAGTTGCCCAAAAGTGTAGTCCTGAGCCCCCATTTAGGGCCTCTTTTTAAGCAAAAATTTATATTCTTGGGGCTGGGAAGGTGGCTCAGTCGTAAAGTACTTGCCCTGCATGCATGAGGCCCTGGGTTTGATTCCTCAGCACCACATAAGCAGAAAAAGCTGGAAGTGGTGCTGTGGCTTAAGTGGTAGAGCACTAGCCTTGAGCTGAAGAGCTGAGGGGCAGTGCCCAGACCCAGAGTTCAGGAACCATGACTGGCAAAAAAAAAAAAAAAAAAAAATTATATCTTTGTTTGCTTAGGGGTAGAAAGTACCTAATGGTTCCTTCCTGCATGTGCAAGCCAAGCAAGAAGTTACAGAAGCATAATAGACAATGCTGTAAGCAGGCATTGAGCAAGGGCAGCATGACCTGTTTTCTATGATTGTTTATGATTATCTAGGATTGTTACTGTTAGAATCAGGTTAAATTAAACAAATAGAGTATTAGTTAGACCAAGGAAAAATGAAATTTAACTAGGACAAACAAGTTCCTGAGAAACAAAAGTACAGACCCGAGGAATGAACAAACTGAGGCCTGGCATTTACTAAAATTTGCAAAGTGAGGAAGAGTAAGGCCAAACTTGAAGGGCAGGAAAAACTCCAGGAAAGTCATTAAGAGGAAAAATTCCAAAGATAAAAACTTGAAGAAAATTGTGAGTAACAAATTGTAACAATTCCAGTAGGTTACTGGAATTTGGTAAATAGAAGTGAAACTCAGAAAGAGCCTGAAAACCTGAAAGGTGGTTTGATTTTGAGATGTGATAAGAAATTTGGATATTTATAAGATGAATTTTTTGTTGCTTTGTATGTCCCACCTCCACGGTATAACCCCTGTTCTCACTGTATTTGAGGTTTTGTATAATTTGTGGAGGGGAAGGGAAAAAACAAATTGTTTAAATAGGGATACAGGTGGACCCATTGCAACAATGAGATGTACAAGATGTTAGGTCAAAAAACGAACTTTACAACTTTGGCGGGGGGCTGGGGGTGGAGGGAGAGGGGGGATGGAAAGGGATAGGAAGGGGAAACAAAGGAGGAGGCAACAATGCTTGATAAGAAATGTACTCATTACCTTGCCCATGTAATTGTAACCCCTCTGTATGGCATTTTCACAATTGAAAAAAAGAAATTTGGAATGTGGCTTTTGCTTCAAGGACAAGGAATTACTATTTGTAATTGCTATTTCACTCACTTGCTTCTTTGATGGGAAGATTTGGGATAAGGACTTTGCCTTGTGACGTATGGCCTTGGTTACTAGAATGGCTGGAATTATAATCACTACTTTGTGATTACAGAATCTCTGCTTCTGTAATTGCTTCTTTGCCAATCCCAAAACTACCACTGGCAACCTGTGAGTGGTACCCCCCTCCCCCATGGATCTTACCTTTAAATATCCTGAGCTATTTGACTTTATTGCTGTTCTTCATTGTTTTGGTATAGTGAGGGGCAGCCGCTACAGCAATAAAGACTCCTTGCCTAATTGACCAAGTGTTGGGGTGTCTTGTTGGGAAATTGGGGTACTACAGTTACCTAGAAACATGATTGTCTCTATGGTTGTTACCTAGGAACAGAAACAAAACAGTGGGTACATATATCTTTAAATGTCAGACTATAAGGAATGAGTCTCATGGGTGGAGGTGCACTGTTTTCTTTTTCTTTTCTTTTTTTTGGTCAGTTGTGGGGCTTGAACTTTGGGCTTGAGCACTGTCCTTGAGCTCTTCAGGTCAAGGTGAACACTCTACCGCTTAAGCCACAGC